AGCCGCGCCATCAACCGCCTCCGATATACCATAACCACACACCCTCGCCTGCGCCCTCCCTTCCTCCGCAGCCGTCGCCTATACGGAGCCAGCCGCCGCCGCCGACTCGACCGCCGTCTAATCCGCAGCCGATACAACACCAGTCGCCTGTGCTTCAAGTGGCACCCCAACTCCCGCCACAAGTTCAACAGCAGCAGCAGCATCAACATCAACAACAACAGGTGCTGCAGCAGCACCAACAACAGCGACAGCAGCAGGGAGAGCAGCAATATCAACACTATTCGCAGCCTCAACAACCCCAACAGTCTCAGCAGCTTCAACAGCCTCAACAGCAGCAGCAACAGCAACAGGAACAGGAACAACCACAACCACAACCACCTCAACCACCTCCGGTGCCGTCGCAACCGCAGTCGCAACCGCTACAACAGCCGCAATCGCAGCCTCCCATACCTCAACCAAGCCAGATCGCTGAGCAGCCCCAGCAGGATCTGTTCCCCGAGCCGCCGCAACCTCCGCAATATGTATCTCCTTCAGACCTCCTCCAGCAAGAGCCGGTGCATTATGTAAATCTTCAAGATATTCAGAGGCAGCCCTCGATCACTTCCTTGCCTATATCAACGACGACAAGTTCGCCGATTGTCCCTATTACCAGCCAAGAAAAACCCAAGGAGACTATCATTGTCAAACCGCTGTATCCCAGCGCGGCGATCAAGCAGGAAAAGCAAGAAGACGATTCTATTGCGACTCGAGTGTTTCAGCAAGTTCCCGACGCCCGTATCAAACGCAGCCCGCATTCGTCAGTCACCAACTCGCCTTCACTATCCATGAGATCCCCCAGCATCACCAAAAAGTCGCCCGCAGTGACACCCAAACCCCGGCCCGTGAACACGGCGCCTTTAATGATTGCCATTGCGGAAGAATGCCTCGAGAAGGCGCGTAACGCCTCACACGATGTGGCTATGAATCTATGTGCGAATCAAGTCGACGAATACCAAGAGCTGATAGCGACGTCATTATCATGTCTAGAGGCTGCGTTGCAGAGTAATCCCCAGCTTGCGCCGCGGGAAGAGGCGCGCGTACGATTAAGATACGCTGCTCTGTTACAAGAGGAGACGGAGAATTTAATGGAGGCGGAGACGGCTCTGGCAAAGGGCATCCCACTTTGCGACAAGGTGAGTCGTGAGATTTCGATCCGTGTTTGTTCGTAGAACGGCCAGCTAACACGAAAGAAATAACCAGCACCGCCTGTTTGATCTTAAGTATTGCATGCAGTATCTCATGCTCAAGGTTCTATTCCAGAGAAATCACAAAGCGGCTTTAAAAGCGGTAGACGGTCACATATCTAACTGCGAAGTGTAAGTCATATTTCCTCCCCCTGAATACCGGTCAAAGCTGACAAGCATATCTAGATTCAAGCATGTGCAATGGTACTATGCGTTCCGCTTATTGAAAGCTTCCTTTTATCTTGATATTGGAAGCGTATCAGACACGGGCGCCCTCGACAACATACGAGCCATCCAGAATGTCGCCAACACCAGAGGCGACACCGCGCTCTCTGTCCTCGCCTCGCTAATAGAAGGCTTCACCCTCCTCAAGACGACCAAGGATGGCAACATGGAGAAGATTCAGGCCTGCATCGCACAAGTGGCCAAATACCAATTCGACCCATCGGTACAGATCATACAGCTCACCATGCTAACCTTGCTGCTTGAGGTTGCCGCAAGTCTGCACCACCAGAATCCAGACCATACGGCTCAGAAGCTGCGGCAGCTGCAGGTGTGCCTGGACGATTGCGAAGAATGGCATAATGTCAAGTCGGACTTCCTCGTGCCCATCAAGAAGGAGTCTTCGGCGGCCAGGACTGTGAGCGATGATACCCAGGCTATTCTGCGGCTGGGCGAGGGCGAGGGCGAGATGGATTATTTGGTCATGACGTTTATGACAAAGATGGAGCTGAGATCGCTCGTGTACGTGCTTATTATAGGATATTTACTATTCTACCCCCGTCTGTGGCCACAGAATTACCGACGGGAGGCTAACAATCGGTGTAGATTTACCATCAGCGGCCTGGCCAATTTCCACAAGCCTTCTTCACAAGGCCGCAGATCAACCGAGTTTTGGAAGGAAGGCCTCAAGATACTCGAGACCTGTAAGTCTGCCGCGCATACACTATTACTTGCAATGCATTTTGCTGACTCCTGTTAGGGGACGCTTCAACAGCTGGTATACCTTACGGCGCCCCCATCCCCTTAAATGTGGCGATTAAGCAGCGGGCCTGGCGGATAGAAGCTCAGGCTTACCTGACTGTTCTCCTGGGATTGGTGGCGGCAAGTCACTGTCAATGGGCAACGGTCAAGCAAATGGTTCAGAATCTCGAGTCTTTTGTTTCTCCCTCGACGCAGCCCACTGTGAGATTGCTCTCAACCTATCTAAAGGGGGTATATTACCAGGGCATCGGCAGCCTCCAAGTCGCCGTCGGTATCTTCCTGGACGACCGTTTCAAGGTCCACCAGCAAGGAAGCACCGGGATCAAGGCCGGGCAGCAGGAGATTGCGCTGCTTGCGGGGCTGAACAGGCTCTGGATCATGCAGCACCCGTCTTGTCGAAACGACCAGGAAACCTTGGATCTCATCGAGCAGCTTCAGCCTCACTGTGCCAACCACAACAACATCGATCTCCGGACTGCCTGGCACAACGTCATGGCGGCCCTGGTGACGGATCCCCCTCAGCAGCTCAACCAGCAGAAGCAGCACATCCACGCCGCCATGGCAGGCTCCAAGGTCACTAGCAATGTGCTCGGAGCCGCCGTCACGCTGTGCATCATGCGCAGCCGCTTCTTCGAAAACGTCATCGGCGAGCAGGCACTCAAGAGCGCTCGAGCGGCAGCCAAGCAAGCAGAAAGGAGCGGCAACGTGCTGTGGCAGAGCGTGGCCGACGGCATGCTGGCGCAGTCGTACGAGGTGCAAGGACAGCGAGACGAAGCCAAACAAGAGTGGGACAAGGCAACCGAGGAAGCCAGAGACGCGTTTTCCCGCAGCTTGTGAGAAGTTGTGTTTCGTGTAAAAAGGACCAAGTAAAGATATAATTGTTTTGCGATTCATGAGTCTTGTACAGGGGGGAGGGGGAGTTTAAAGGGTTTGACCGGTGTTTTTTTATTCTTTCCTTGGTTTTCCTCCCGTTGTTTCACTAGAACATGCTTTTTTTCCTGGCCCAGAAGGGAATTTGGATGGCTTTTTATACAGGGATCCTGGTATATATGAAAGATTAAAAAAAAATCTGTACGATACCTGACCAGACAGATCATGGCCATTATTATACTTGGGAGGGAAAAGGTCGTGGGACACTGCTAGATGAGGAAGAGTCCTCAAGGGCGCTGTTTTTAATATGGTTTCCTCCTTTATAATCCCCAGAAAATTAGAAGTCTGTAGTAATTGTGCGTTTTCATGGCATTCTTTTGGCCCTCCTCTTACCTGATTGAAGTTACTGTCCTTGCTACTTGAACCAGGTATTATTTACCAGAATGGTGTATTAGGAACGGATATTTGGCTTGTCTCATCGGCGGCCAAAGCCTGGCGGAGGCTGGAATCCAGGAGGTGGCATGAATCCAGGAGGCACCGGTGGCGTCCCTGAAGCTCCTGGAGGAGGCACCGGGAAACCAGGAGGCGGAACTGCCGGGAAACCTTGCGGCGGAGGAGCACCGCCAGGAGGGCCCCCTGAGGGAGGGCGGAAGTGGGACGGATGGAAATCCGCAGGGTTCGTGTATCCGCCCTGGATCTGAGGGGGCCGTGCAGGCAGGCCTGACGGCGCCGGTGGGAGAGGAGCTGAGCCTCGTCCGGCGCCAGGGAAGCCATTTGGAGCGTGGCCAGGACCAGCGCCATAAGGAGACGGTCCGCGTGGAGGAGGGGCAAAGCCGCTTGGAATATTCGCATGCGTGGGCGTTCCCATCATCGGCGGAGGTACTCCAGCGGGCATGCCGCCCATTGCACCGGAATCGAAACCAGCGGGAGCGGGTGGGGGTGCTGCGCTGGCGGGAGCGGGAGCAGCGGCCGCCGAGTTCATGAGGAAAGCCTGAGGGAGAGGCTGGGCCTCGGGAAGAATATTTCTTGACTTGGCCTGCGCAGCCAGGGCTCGCTCCGCCTGATCACCGTGTCTCTCTCCCTTTCCGTCCTTCTTGAAGGCGTATTGCACAGACACCTCCTTGCTGAGGATGTACTGCCCGTGGAGGTTGGAAATGGCAGCATCGCTGCTCTCGAAGTCGCCGTAGCTGACGAAGCCAAAGCCCTTGCTCGCGCCGCTGTCTTCCCTAGCAACCTTGGGAATGCTCAGCAGCGGGCCGAAGCGGCTAAAGGTGTCGTAGAGGATCTTCTCGTCGACCATGGCATCGAGGTTTCCGATGAACAGCTCGGCGCCCACCTCGGCGGCCTTTTGCTTGTCGGCGCTGGCCTTGTTGACGCGCAGCGACTTGCCGTAGAGCTTGATGCCGTTCATGACGTTGGCGGCGTACTCGGCGTCGGCAGGGGTGCGGAACTCGACGAAGCCGAAGCCCTGGTGGGTTTGGGTGACGCGATCTCGAGGCATGTGGATGTTGTGGATGGGGCCCATCTGGAGCATGATTTCGTAGACCATGGCCGAGGTCGCGCGCTCGTCGATGTTGCCAATGTAGACCGTGGCCTCCTTGTCTTGCTCCCTAGATGTTCTGGTCAGTTTTTGATTCGAGGCAAATGGCACCAATACGCGAAGTCAACGGGGGTTGAGGTTTGGGGGGAAGCTCGGAAGAGAAACGTACCAATGCCTGTTGACTGCCATTTTGACGGTTTGCAGGCCGGAGCCTTGCGAGAAACGACACGAGGAATAGAAGTTTGATGTTCGATGCAGGAATTGGCTCTCTGAATTGCGTTACGATTAGTAAATAGTGAGCAGAGAGGAAAAGAAACAGCTTCAATATCGTCGTCGCGTGTGATGCAGCTTAAGGATGAAGCTCGGAAATCTCAACCACAGAAATGTTTCGCCAGCAGCGATACAATGTACCCATGTATTCCCGCCAGACGGGGTTTATCAAATTAGCCAGAGTTGAGCCGGCACTGATTGGCGGGCGCTTTCCCGAAAGCAGAAATGACCGCATTAGTGGCGGTACGTACTCCTACATGCAGGCCTCGAAATTTCTTAGCAGGCGGGACAACTTGAACTGAAGAGCTTGGAAGCATCAATTTGCGCACTCGCATCTCCCAACGACAACATTTTCTGCCGTTCGCACCCGCCGCCCGACGACCGCCAGATTTCAAGATGTTTGCGCTTTCAGAAGAGTCCAAGGTACGAATACGAGGCGCTTCGAGAAGACAGAAAGAGGAAGACGGGAGAGACAGCGGGAGGAAGAAGAGGATGATGATGATGTGATGATGGTGAAGAAACAACCGGACTGACTCTGTCTACCACAGGAGCGCATTGCCAAGCTCATTGACGTATCCCGAGTCGCCATTCACTAGTATGGAATTCCCTGGTATTTCTTCTTCCCAGTGCCGTACGAGAGCTAACCGTTGCCATCTAGTGGCTACCTTCCTCTGATTCTCTACCTCGGTATGCGATCTTGAAGCGCATGTACGGCTTACGCCGGAAACTGATTCTCTCTCGTCTGGATTTAGGCTACACCCGCAGCGACCCCCGACCTTCAGTCATCCGGTATGCCGTTGCTCTCAAATCCAAATACACAGACAAAGGCCGCTAACAGACACAGCCTTCTCTCTCCTCTTTCCTAAACGAAAAAAAAAAAAAAAAAACACTCGGGCATGCGATGATGTACGATATACGATTATAATACGGCTCAAGGGACCGGGAAAAGGCATGCAAACAAGGAGAGGCGAACAGCCGGAGGGAAGCTCAATGTCCAGCATTCATCATGGCGTTTGGGTAATATGCACATGTCTTGGAAGAAGGCAGGGCAAGACAGGGCACGGGACTGGTGATAGAGTATGACGACAAGGTCGCCGAGAGGACGCAAAGGAGGACGCCGAATGCTGCCATGTACCAATAAGAATGTATTATCTACTGCTCCGTACTGTAATTGGACCAAGTAAGCACTCTGAGGATTCGTCGCTCAGTTCTGCCGCCCATCCATGTCACATAGCTGATACTGCTACCTTGACTGGAGTGACTATCCATCGACTCAGCTTGGCTACCTACCTATCTAACTCCCCAGTGACTACGGGAGGCTCAAGAATTACAATGAAATGCAGAGGAAATGCCCTATATCTACTGGTTCTTCACCATCACCACTCTTCTTCTCCAATGCCACTATCGCTATCTGCCGTGCAAGTAAGCACAGGGTATCCATGCGCCCGATAGCGCTTTATCTACCGCTTTTTATTCTATTCAAACTGGAACAATGTAACCCTTGAATTCTACCGTAAGCCAACTTGGAAAACACCAGGAACAAGCCCATCAGCCAGTGAGTTCTCAGTCAATTGAAACGCACCACCTCTTGATTGAATCCCAACAGCCAAGACACCGCAGAGCAAAAACAGCTTACAATTTCAAAAGATTGAATAGCCGAATCCTAGCGTCCGACAGCAAACAAAGAAAAAAACCCGCCCGCCGCTACCCGCCAGTGACCGGTTTGCCCATTACCGGCAACCGGACTGGACTGACAAAGAAGAAAAAAACAGGGACCGGCCTATATATACGCCACACAGTTTGACAAGGCAAAACAAAGGCTGTTCCACATGAACGAGCACTCGCCCGTCAACTTTGCGCAGGCCGACAATGTGACCGGACGCAGCTCCGATCCGAACAGCTCCATGCCCGGAAGCCGTGATGCCGGCCGGCTGAGTCCGGCTCTGGTCGAGTCGATTGCTGGGCTGAGCGCGGGCTCGATTGCGACGCTGGTTGTGCATCCGCTGGATATTGTCAAGACGCGCATGCAGAGTGAGTTGGTGATGTTTCTGTTTCTGTTTCTGTTGGTGGCTTGTCTTGGTTTCTCTTGGGAGGGTTTGATCTTGTCATATATGGAGGGGGGCGAGGAGGGAGTTGTGACGAGAGAGAGAGAGAGAATGACGGACAAGGAGATGGAAGAAGCAGAGAGAGAGAGAGAGAGACAAGGAGAAACAACTATACAACAGAAACAATCCTCCATCTCCCACGATGCTCCCGATAACTAACAGTTTCAAACCCTCAACAGTCAGCACCAGCGCCGCCTCCGCCGCCCAGCACAACCCCTCCATGCTCGCCATGCTGCGCTCCCTCTCCAGCAACCCGCGGCCCTTGTCCCATCTCTACCGCGGCCTCACCCCGAACCTCACCGGCAACGCCCTCAGCTGGGCCTCCTTCTTCTTCTTCAAGACCCGCTTCGAAGACCTCCTCACCCTCGCCCGCGGCTCCGACCGCCCCTCGCCCTCCGACTACTTCATCGCCAGCGCCCTCGGCGGCGCCGCCACCAGCTTCCTCTCCAACCCCATCTGGGTCGTCAAGACGCGCATGCTCGCCTCCGACAAGGGCGCAAAGGGCGCCTACCCGTCCATGTGGTCCGGCTTCCGCACAATCCACGCCACCGAGGGCTTCCGCGGCCTCTACCGCGGCCTGGGCGTCTCCATGATCGGCGTCTCCCACGGCGCCGTCCAGTTCGCCGTCTACGAGCCCGCCAAGCGCTTCTACTTTGCGCGCCGCCAGAGCCAGGGCTTCGACTCCGCCCGCATGACCACCGAGGCCACCCTCGTCATCTCCTCCGCCGCCAAGCTCGTCGCCGGCGCCGTCACCTACCCGTACCAGGTGCTCCGGAGCCGTCTGCAGGTCTTCCGCGCCGACGAGAAGTTTGGCAGGGGCTTCAGGGGCGTCGTGAGGATGACGTGGAGGGAGGAGGGCATTCGGGGCTTCTACCGCGGCTTGATACCGGGAGTTGTTCGAGTAATGCCCTCTACTTGGGTCACGTTCCTGGTCTACGAGAACGTCCGTTACTATCTGCCTCGTTGGATGTCCTGATCATTGCCCGGTTCGACGGGAATGTGGCTCCAGGGGGTGTCATCTTGTGTTTCTTAATGTTTGCTTCGTTTCGAGCTTGATTTGTCGGCGGCCGGCGGTTTTGGTAAATCAGCGTTTGTTCTATACGAAGAGCATAATTCGGCGTTCTCAGAGAGGGGGGATATCGCATATAGAGCGGACAGGTTGGAAAGATAGATGCGATTACTAAAATTGCTGTCAATTATGAAATAGACAATCTTCTTCTTCTCTTTGTTCAACCTTCTCACCACACACCATGTTCCATCAGAGAGAGCTAGATCTCATACACGAGTGTTTGATAACCACACATGTCCTTTCACAAAACCTTATAGATACTTAAAATACGCCGTCTGCAGAGCATGGCAATGACTGTATCCTCTTTTCCCTCTCTTCTACCTGCTCTGTGGCCAGAGCTCGCCAGGAAAACATGGCTTTCATACGCAAACAGTTTCTCACAAACAGCAAGAATCGTAGACGAGTCTACCAGGAGACAATCACAATCACACTTCAAACTGCAAATCAATCCCCCAACTTTCAAACTCAGATCAGCATCAAACGAATGTCACAACCACAGCCCAACTATCCGACTTGTTCCACCACTGACTCTCTCCAGGTCCCATGTCAAGCTGAACAAACTCACAACGGCAAGACTTGCTCCTTTCTTACCCATATCCCGAGTGGCAATGCCATACCAGGCCGGGGGGGGGGGGGGGCAGGCCACCACGAAAGCAAAATATTTA